ATTTCTGTTACAGAATGTTAATTTGGGTTTACTTTTGACAGATGATTTTGTCTATATGACTAGATGTCTAGGTTTCACTTTGGGTTTCTTTTGCTGACTGTAGTAATTTGGGATTTGAAATACCAGTTAAAACTTGTGCAGGGCGTCATTCTCAGAAAGGGCTACCTGGACTACATGGTTCCTGATACTCCAACTGAATAATGCTCCTGAGCTACACATATACGTCTGACTACTTACTTTTAAAGCTTTTTTTGATGTGGACTATCTTTAAAGACTTTACTGAATTTGTTACAAAACTGCTTCTGTTTTATGCTTTGGTTTTCTGGCCATGAGGCATGTGGGATCTTAGCTCCCCAACTGGGGATTGAACCTGCACCCCCAGCATTGGAAGGTGAAGTCTTAACCACTAGGCCATCAGGGAAGTCCTGTTTCTACTTTTTAAATTTTAGTGACATAACTGTGAATTGACATGTAACTCTCCCTTCTCCCTACCTCTAGATATGGTAAGCATGCTCTCATCTTTCTACTTCTCATTTAAAAACAGGAAAAGCTGTTAAAAAAAAGTAGGGGAGTAAGGAAACCTAGGACCAAAGATAGCATGCAACACTCTAAATTTTCCAAGGTGGTCATAGTGACTGACATGCTTGTAGTTTGCAAAAGCCTATGCTTTTCTAATATGTAAAAAATTTCAAAAAAATTCTACTGAATCATATCAAGTATACTATGCTATTAACATAAGGCAAATTTATATGGATGGCAAATACTATTCTGGTCTTAATACTTAAGAATAAATCTACTAACTATGTAAAAATAACAGCTAATAAATGCCAGTTAATCAATTATTCTGTGAGAAAAAGTTCTTGGTGATTGCAGAAGTGCTGACGTCCTGTATTCTGAATTAGGGGCAAAGTATAAGAGACAACTTTGAGTAAAGCTCATTTACTTTGATTTCCTGAACTTTTAGTATTCATTTAGCATACAAAATACGATATTTATTATACTATTTTTGAACCGATTAAAAGGCTATGTAAGTATTGTTTATCCTTATATTGAAAAGTTGCAGTGAATAGTTTAAGCCTTTTGCTTATTTCAGTGTACCCCTGTAACTGCACTTCCTGATGCGAACTTCAAAACACTGAATCTTAGAGCCAACAGTCCCATCACCAAAGTAGAAAACATGTTTGTAATAACCTTAATGGAGTCTGGATCTAACATAATAACACATTATTATCATTTATACTAGAAAACTTGATTACTAGAGTGTGTTAAGATATGACCAAGCCGAACAATACAAAATTAAAACAGTACAATAATATAAATCACAGGTAAAAATGCTAATCTTATGATGTCATCAAATTAAATGTAGTCACATTTCAAATCCTACCAAATCTCTTAGGTACTATAATTGCACCATAATTACTAATACAGACAGAAAACTGGTTAATGAGGATCCCAATGTTAGAGAAGCCTTAGAGAAAATTAGAGAAACTGAAAAACTACAAATCTAAGTAGTTATTTCAACTTGGAAGTGAAGTTATATAACCAATTTATACATTTTATAGAACTTAACTGAAAAGGTAGTGTTTATAGGTCACCTGACTAGTGGAACTTACACAATATTTATAGCTGCATTATTTGGGCTATTCTTTAAACTCTTCAGTTTATCTACATTACATATATTTAAGCAAAGATTTTATACCTACTAAACCTATGACTCTTCTTAGTTTGGGGATAGATAAATACAAAGATGAAAAAGACATAGTTTCTATACATCTAGTCTATTATTATACCTTTTAAAGCCTTTTCATATAAAATATTTAATCACAATATAGAAAATATAATAAGCCAGAATAGTGCGGGGTATGCAGTAAAGGCTTAACAAATGCTAACTACAATTGAATGGAGCTATGGTAAGGTCAAGAAATAAATAGTATATTATGGTTAATCAAATATGCTGATCATATTTGCTAGAGAATTACTACATATGATTTACAAAGGTTATCAACATTCAGAGAATTGGAAAGCTTTTTCTTTTAACCTGAAGCCATGTTTAATCAACTTTAATCTTTCTCTTTTACTTATTCAGACTGTATCCCAGGATTTTAGGGTCATTACTATAGATATGATTCTGCTGTTGTTTTGGTAGGGGGGCTAATTTATACAACTTTATAATTGATGAATACTAAGTATCAGTAAAAATTTACTGTGATTAGACAAATGGTCCCACCTGAATCTGGACAAATACCAATACATGCTCCAAAGAGGAAGAAATATTCTTTTGCCTTTTTCAAATCACTCAAAGAAATTAGAGATTATTGATTAAAGTTGCTCTACCTATTAGAGGCCCTGGGTAGCTGTTATAAAAACATACTCAGTTTTCATACGTAAAAAAGGCAATGATTTAATAAATCAAAGAAAATGGATGCTAAAAATAGACATGAGGGTTTTTACTTGTTTCTTTTGCCCCGAGTTTCCACTTGTGCCACCTTTCGAGACCATGTTACTCACAGTAAATTCCAACATGTAACAAATCTACCTGCATGGAATGAGAACTAAGTTATTTTTGCTTTACCCACTGAAGCCACCTTTCCTTCTGAAAGACATGGATTCAATGTCTGGCGCATTAGAGCCTCAAACTTTACACACTAGTATAGTGTACATCTCCTCATTTTTTACATATTGAGGCAGATTTAAAAGATATTTATTTGTTGAGCATATTAAAACACTGTCACCTGATAAAGGAATCCTTCCAGCACCTGTGATATTTCCTACCTATTTCCATATGCATTTTATAGCATATAATTTAGTGCTACATTTAAAAGTATATGATTTTATCCTGTATGTATGTACTTCTGTTAGCTTGGATTCTTTCATTGTAGTTTTTCTACTTACTAAATTGAATGTTATGGCATAAAAAAATTATCTAGAATATGTTTCACTGTTATTTCTATACTTAAGAAAAAACCATATTCATTAGGTTATAAGCCCAAAAGGTAAAGGATTTGATCAAGTGTACTGAGTATTAACTTTAAAAAGAACTACCACCTACTTGTGTTTTGTTTTCAAGTACTGGTTCCAAATCATAGGGTGACCAATTATATTGGTTCTCTTAGTTTAGAATAGTGGGAAAGAGAGAGGAACTGAACAGAAACCTAGATCTTTTATCAGCTCCAGTGGCAACATATAGTTACTATGAGAACCTAAAGTTATTCAAAGGAGAGGTCCCACTTGCCATTATATAAGTCCTTTATTTCTACTCCCTCACCAATGAAACAAGACCCAGTTGTATGTGTGTGTGTGTGTGAGAGAGAGAGGGAGGGAATAAGCATTCATATTTTTATGAATTCATATTACTGTGCTAACCATCTCCTCTGGGCGCAACATTTTTTTCACTAGGCATTCTCGTTGCTTAGTTTGTGTGGTGACAGACATGACACCTTAGACCTGGTTATCAGAATAATCATCTTAGGAGAACGGTGCCACATGAAGAAAAAAATCTTACATCTTTCATTAAATATATAAATTCAACCTAAAAGAAAATGAGGAGGCATGCTTTCCTTGTGATGCTAACTACTGTTAACTTTATCCTTCTTAAAAGTGTTAGCAGCATTATGGTAAACTACTCAACATTCTGTCAGGAACACTGAAGCAGTATTGAACAATTACAGTGTTGGGTTCCATTTCAATGGCTCCTTTCGAGAACTAAGGCAAATTAGCTCAAGAATCACTATTTCTACACTCTCCTTCTTTTGGCTTTAAGTGGCTTTTGAAGGGAGTATCCCCAGATGAGAAACTTCCAACACTCCTGCAGAGATGACCTGCTTGAAGAACTGGCTGCCTGATTAACTATTAACTGCTCTCAATAGGATTAGATAATTAAGGACATTGATGACCATTAATTAGGAGGAGGGCACATTAATTTGTCACTGGATAGGGCCCTTACAATGATTTATAGGTTAGTGCTACTTGCAAATGTGAAGGGAAAGAGAAAAAGAGAGAGAACCATTAAGTTACCTTATCAAGTGGCCAGCTAAAGAGGGCAGAGGGTCAAAAAAGGGCCAGAATGGTCACTTAAGGGTGAAGTCCCAAACACCAAAGCAGTGCCAAGCCACATTGACCATCATTTGGTGATGAAGCTAAAAATATGCTAATTTATTGGTGGCAATTCTCTCTTTTTATGGTTTCAAGCAGTTAAGACAAGTGGCCTGCTTAAGAGCTTTTCATTTGAAAAGAGATTAAACAAAATGGTTTGTCAAGGCTGCTTGGCTGTTTTATGTCTTTGTTAAAAAAAAAAATTGCACCGACTATACTGATAACTATCACATCACCCAAAAGCCATCTCTCTCTCTTCTGAGCATTTATTTCGTTAATAAATATGTCAACTTTAATTGCTTAATAGTGCTATGTTCATTTGCTCTTTAGCAAGATTAAGTTGAAATAAATCTTTTGTACTACTCCTTTCTGTCACTATTGATGGCATAAAAGTCACAAAAAATGTTTAAGTTTCTGTATAAAATTTACTTAAAGACACTAGTGTAAATTATACTTTGTTTTATTCAGCACAGAAAGTAGAATGATGATTTCACGAATAGTAAAGAAACCTGCTTTTAGAATGTAGATAAGAATCCTCTATTCTTCGGCATACACAATTGTGGGTATCATTCACATTCCACACATAAATAAGCACAGTTCATTAACATTTAATTAAATATGCTTTTGAATGCCTTGGAAATATGCATATGATACTTACCATGTAAGTTTGGAGCTTACTTTTTAACAGACATTTAAAAGAAAATCATTTTTGCTGTACTCTTCTCATATACCATTAGAATAAAAGACAAAAAAGAATAGTCTAACATAAATTATTCTGTTACAGCCAAAGGACTTAAAAATGTTTAGCATGAAATATCACCTATGAACTGCATTAAAGTAAAAAAAGAGAGACAGAGAGAGACTTTTACCTCAAGACTGTGAACTCAAACATAAAAATTCTCTCTTACCTCAATGGTGAACAGCTTCTTTTTTAATTTAAAAGCTAAGTCTTTGACATCTGATATATCATAAATCAAGTTATTAAGTCGAGGAATCTGCCGTATATGAATAAGACCTTGTGGAAAGGACATGAAAAAAAATTCAAACACGCTGTCATTGGATGCATTAAATTCAAGAGTCTTACAGCAGAATTCTGTAAATTTACACACAAGCATCCTCCCCCTTTTAAAACTGGAGCTTACTACCAGGAGCAATGAAGCAAATGGTGTGATTATACTCAAGTAATCAGGCAGAATAAGATAAACAGAAATCCTTGTGCGAGGAAAACTAATTGCACTTTGGTAGAGAAGTACAGATGTAAAGAGGGATCTTAGTACTTGTCAAAACTACAGCTGGCTTGTCTGTGATTTTCTCTTGTATTTACAGTAAGCAAATATGGCTATCACCTTGCATGCTGCCCACGGCACCACTGAGTGATCTTTATTTTATTAAATGCACCAGTAAGCAGCCAGCAAAACAAGGCTTATGGGTTACTGATCATCAGTGAAGCACTAATGAAAAGTATTTCATTTTATTCACCTTATTAATGACTTGAACAAACCACTGAAGAAAACTACATTTCAGAGCACATTCTAGGATCAAACATTAACCCCCACGCCATCCCAAGACACTCATTTCTGTGGCATGTCAGACCTTCATGGAGCTGTTATAAGCTTTGTAACAGTGCTAGGTAAACCGTGAGCTTTGGCCTCTTGTCAGTAGAAACACTTGCTAATTTTTTCTGACAAGGGCACTGGATGGTTTTTGTGCAGCTTAATGCAGTTTCTGACTAAACTCAGGGTCATTTGCCACAGATGAAGACATGGAAGATTCTTCAATGCATCTCTCTGCCTGACTCAGCCCACATTTAAAAATCACCATTCCAAAGACATTGATCCCTCAACATGGGGAAGAAGGCAAAGCCAGATTTGAACAAATTAGATAAATCTTATTTATGTAACTGCTTCTCAAGTACAATATATATAGTTTTGTGTGTGTGTGTGTGTATTTGGATGCTTAATAATGTATTGTTGTTAGTTTAAAAAGGTCAACCTCCATTATAAACGGCTTCAAAAATATCACTAAAATATCTAACAATTTTTTAAACTTAAGAAAATGCAAAAGGTGTTATTAAGAAGATAGCTTTTACATACAAATTAAAAATATCCCACATGGAGTTTTTTAGTAAAATATATTAGAAATAATCACACCATACATTGGCACATTTCGATTTCAACCTTGTTAAGTGTTTGTTTAGCTAACTATTAAATCAGGAGGCTTTACAGAATGAATCAGTGATTTTCAGGTCCTTCTTATTAATAGAAACTTTATTGATCATCAGAACTACCCACTAATCTGTGGGAAAAAAAATAATCAGTCCAGAGTGTACAGTACAAAAAAATTAAAGCTTTTCAATCCTTGAAATGTTTCAATCAAAATAATATTTTTTGAATATAAAATATCATTTTATATTATACTAAACTTATAAAATCTTAGTACTTATAAAAGATATTCAGTTATAACTTATAAAGGTAATGTTTAACTTGAGTTGTTTTAAAAGAAAATGTAAATAATAAAGTATTTTATCCAGTTATAAGATACTTAAGTCCTGGAGCTATAAAGTGCAGCATGGTGACTATACAATACCATATCGTATATTTAAAAGTTGCCAAAAGAGTAAATCTTAAAATTCTCACTAATAGAGAAAAAAAGGTGTAACTAGTGTGGTAATGGATGTAACTAAAATTATTGTGGTAATTTCTCAGTATATACATAACACTATGCTCTATATCTAAAACTAATACAATATTATACATCAATTACAGCTTAATATAAATTTTAGAAAAAGAAAGGGAAATAGTTAAATCTGAACAGTTCTCTTTCTATCAAAGTAAACAGTAACATAGTAAATGAATGATACAGAGGGTTAATCTGGGCTGATACCACTCGCGCTCTTATGCAATGATTATGAGGTAAATTATTTTACATACTTTGGGTTCATAGTTTATATTTTCTAGCCTTTTAAAAAATACTTGACTATTAGTATGTGCTATTTCATTATTTTTTAAAAAGTTTTATGTCAACTCTTCAAAGCACTGGTGGTTATAAGTATCTTAGAATTTTTTATTTGATAGACTCTAGAAATTGCCACAGTCCTATGATCACAATCTTACACGATCTTGTAGCAGGCTTCAAATAAGGTATTCAGTCTTTAGACTAAGATGTCCGTGGAAGTTAGCAGTTCCACAATAATAATAGAAATAATTAGTATTTACTCAGAAAAAGGAAACAGGTAAAAATCTGTTATTTACCACACTCTATATTCAGTTTAGAGCTAAGAATAATTACTAAACTTATCCTATTTCAACAGTTCTATATAGAAACTTTTATTTTAAAAAAATCCCCAAATTAACCAAATGGCTAAAACACTATTAATATCTTCAAAAAATAAAAGTAAAAAGCCTGGTTAATTGACCAGTGTTTATGTTAGGGTAGTAATACTTTAAAATTTGCTCATAACTCCAGCAACAAAATGAACAAAGTCCAAATATAATAAAAGATGTTCACTTTCTGAAAATGTGACTGACTGGGACTTCTTAACTATATTACCGTATGAATTTTATGTATCATACAGTTAAGCTTTGTAAAGTATAAACCACTATACATAGCTATTATTATAATTAATATAATATTTATTTCTAATATTAATAAGTGTGACTGATTTCACAGCAACTTTAGGTACAAAATGTACCTCTGACTGAGCCATGCCTTAGTATCTGGGTTTGACACTTTTCAAATAGTTACCATGGTTCATAGAGTTAATGTAGCTTGGTGACAAACTGCCATAAAAAACTGGCCAGGAAGGAAAAACATTTAACAGATTTATTATAAAATAAAATTCATGTTACATGACAGTAGATATTTGTCCAGATTCTTCCAGACAACAAGAACAGGCCCCTTTCACTCTTAAAGGTGTTGCTTACCATGATAATCCTTATATAATGGGTTGGTTTCTTTCTCAGAACCAATAAATGATTCCAGACCAACTACTGTATCTGACAAGTTTGTAACACGAGCAATAACTGCTTTATTCTGTAAAACAAAGAAACAAAACACTCATGTTATATTTAAAATATACCATCTAGGCAATGTCCTTATGCCATCTCAATGACAAATTGTAGAGAACACATACTATCAACACAGAGAAATAACTTAAAAGTTAAAGCTAACAAGGGCAGCAAACTGGATGAAAAATAAGCCCTTAATTGAAAATTCCAGCCCATGAAGGTATGCTATTTTAATTTGAAGAGTGAGGGGGTGTACCTTAGTTTTTGTAGAAAAGGTCAAGTACTTTTTCTCTTGTCTTAAAGAGGCAAAGCTACCTTTATTTTCACATACTATTATTTTTCAAATTACCCATTGTCCATTGAGAAATCTGATAAACACTAGGATTCAGAAGCAGTATACAGTAAATAGAATATGGAAGACAAGGTCCCACGATCATCTGTCAGCTGGGACCAGGTCCCAGCCCTATAACAGCTGAGGTCCTCTGTTACCATGAAACATGGAAGGGTCTGCAGCATGACCAGCTCTGGAGTCTTCCATTCTTTCTTTCCAGATGCTGCTATTTGGCTCTGGGGTAACAATAAAGGCAAAGAAAAGGTGCTAGACGACCAGCACTAGACTAGTAGCCTCCCTATTTCTTCCCAACACAATCAGACCTGAACCAAAAGAACTGCTCAACAATACATTATAAAATATAGTGTAAATAATCTACATTATGTACACAGTGTATACAGTGTAATATAAAAATACATCACATTTTAAATATCAATATGTCTAAAATACCCAGAATTTCAAGGCTATAACAAATATAACAACTAAAAATATAACCATTTAATACTCTTCAGGTTTGCTTGACTCATTTTATTTTATATAATTCAGTCTGCCTTATAACCCTTGATAGGGTGATAGGTTAGTAAATTATTTTAAAGGTTAGAAAAAACATTTTTAGAAAAATGTTTGATCTGGAGATCTAGATATGTTGAAAAAAATTGTTGCTTGTAAAATTTTGTTAACTTTGAAACTCCTATTTTATACACTGGTAATGTCTACCATTTTAAAATTAATCTTTTGAAGAAGGATGGGAAATGTAAAACAGTTGAGACAACTTACAGTCTGATACTATATCCCTGTAGAAGAAAAGCCCAAATATAATCATATGTTCACTTTCTAAAATGTGATTGACGATTGAGCTTACGGGTATTCCCTTGTTTCTTAAGTCCTCTTAACAAAGACTACATAAGAATAAAAAATAAAAGAGGGCTGGTCAATGTTGCCTGGTTTGAAATACATAGTAATCTGTCACTAAATATTATGCTAAAGTGACTAGTTAACTCACATATAGGGAAGTACTTTGAAATTCCTCTGTAGGTAGAAATGTATATTATAAAAAGAATATTACAGCCTTTGAATTAGAACTCTTAAAAGGAAGCAGCAAAAATAATTATCCTTAATTGTCTTTAATACTTTCAATCACAGGGGCACCAAGTATAGAAAAACAAACATCATTTGGAAATGCCTATTTTTTTCCAAGGCAATTTTTCATTCAATGGTGAGAAAATAATCCAGATTGATCCCTTACTTTCAGTTCTATGCCACAGCGGATGGTCCTACTCCAGGAATAACAGGGGTTTCAGAGGCCATAAACACTCTCCTCTCAATATTTCTTTAGCCAAAGACCATTATATCAAACTCATCCAGGTTGGGTTTCAGCCAGTTATTCTTCACCCAAACAAAAATGTCTGCCAGACATTCCAACAGCTGGGAGACAGTTCACAATGAGTCAACTTGAAAATGATTCATTGTGCTGAGTACTGAACAATGTTGGGGTGGGGGTGGGGTAAGGCTGAGTTGGTTGTAGAGGGTGAGAACAAGTGGGAGAAGAATAACCATGTGGTTCTCCCATTAAGAAGGATCTTAGATGACAACCAGCAGACTCTTATCATTTCATTTTTAGGATAAACTCAACTGGGAAGAGTACTCCTGTCATGGACCCTCAGATGAACAAGCACTTATAAAGGCTACTGACAATATTTCTTAATCAAAAAGGTCAGATTTCCTTTTATCTATACTAGAAGACTAAGCCTTTGTATCTAAATAGCTGAAGCTAAAATGATAAAAGTCAATTTCTGTTGGAATTCAACTATTAGGATTTCAGTGATAGAAACTGGGGTTTTCTTAATGATATGAATAATAGAAATTGTAAGGTTTAAGGATGGATTTAGCCTTCCATTCTAGTAGGATATAAGCAAGGTCCTGCATATTTAAATGGTCAACTTGACATTTGTTATTTCAAAGAGGATTTCTTTCCTTACTTTAACCTTAAAACTTACTAAATAAACTACTTCTACTGTAACATCTGTCTACATTGTAAGTCTTTTTAAGAAAATCTGTGGGGGATTAAAACAATCAATTGTCTACTTTGCAGAGGAAAACTAATGAATTAATATAAAATATAAAGATAGCCTAGATTTTAAAATCTCAGAAACTCATTTATATATTTCATTTATTATGCTTCTAAGTTCCATAGATTTACATCAGTTATAAACTACAAATTAAATTCTATCTTAAAAGCTTCTATGAAGTATCAGAACAAGAATAAACTTTTTAATATTACCATAAAATAAGTTACATTTAACAGTGACTTTACTGCTTTCTGCACAGCAATTTTGGAAAACAGTTTATGTAATATGGCAAACGAGATTAATTGTTAAAGTTCTATGGAATTTGAAAAATGTCCATAAAATAAAAAGCACAAGAAATTACATGAAAATAACATCTAAGTTTCTGAATGAGATAAAACTTTATTTTAATTATAAACTCATTTCAGTCTTCCAGTTATTTGGAAGAGCATAAAAGATATTTGAGCATGTAAATGTACTTACTTTTCAAAAGTTCAAATAGTGTTGAAGTTACTTCTTTACCTCCAAGGTTCACAGGGAGTGTGGTATATTGATGTAATCATATCTTAAAACTACTCTTGTCAAAAGGTCTTTCAAATCATAACATGAATACTAAATGGTCTTTTAGATAAAGGTAGGTAAATTTATTTAAAAGAATCTAAAATCAACTGCTTTTAAAAACCCTTAAAAGCATAATAATAACAATTCACTCTAGGAAGAACACACTATGGATAATAAATTGCCTTATTATAACCCGAAACATTCAGACAGCTTTAGCATAATGATTTTAGCAGAGATCTTGAAACTAGAACTTCTATATTCTCCTATTAAAAGATTCTAAGTGTTTTTATGTTACTAGCTAAGATGTGAAACCTTTTTGGTACAGTATATGTATGTATTTAGAAATGGAGAAGTAAAGGTATTTGTGCATCCCTTACTTAGACATAAATTGTGAATAATTTTTGTATTAATTTTGAAGTTAACACAATATAGTTGCCAGTAAGGAACATCTGAAGAAGGATATTTGGGACTCAGAAGTATGAGTAAATTAATTGCTACACTGCATGCATGGCATAATGATATCACCCACATATATACAATGATACTGCCACCCCTCCTACTTGCCCATCTGGATGAGAAAATCTAGGATGACTCAAAAATCTTTCTTACACTAGACAAATCTCCCCTTCAGTCCTGGGTGAAAGTTGTCAGCTCTGGATAGCAGCCAAGACATGACTAGGAGGGAAGCCAGAAGAGAAGAGAGCCAAGGTCCAGGAGTTTTAAGAGTTTGCTGGCAATCTCAAACAGCATTGTGTTAGGTCACAGAAAAGGTTCTTAAAAACTTTCTGTTGCAATGTAATTTCTTAATTACTGAAATCTAAATTATGTCAAATGATGTTGCAGATAAAAAAGGCACACCAGAATGCCCAGTTGACTACCTTCTTATTCCAATTTTAACTTCACAGAAAAACTTTACAGAGTTTTTGTTTTGATTGTTTCTTGTTTGGTTTTATAGAATGTTTCCTATTTGCTTGTATAGAATGGGAACCTCTTTTTATTAGGAATCGCCAAATCCATTAAATGGATTTTAAATAAAGGAAGGTTAGTTTAACGCTCTTTTCCAATTCAAAGCTCATAAAGTCAAAATCATGAACTTTGTTTTGTTAAGAAATAAAAATTCAACTACTGCCATCAAAAGCTCCCTTCATTTTCTAATAAAAATAGCTGAGATACTTATTCAGAGTAACCAAGTAACAGTCAGACTATATCAAACCCTAAGTGTTCCCCTCCTTACTGGGACCTAATTACCTCAGCAACATAAAAGAGATAGTTTGCACCAATACAAAATATACTTTCAGGAAAGATTTTAACAAGAAAGTTAAAAAGTAATTAACTAATCACTTAATTATCAAGAAGCCTGAAAGGAATAAATCAACTGCCATAAAGCATTTATGCAATGCCTCAAATTAGAATAAGTTCTTGGGTTACTCAAATGAGAAAGAGAGAAAACACACTATATGAAGGACAGAGCTCCATTCAAGTATGGCACACATCAGATTTGGGACTACAACAGCACAAAAGCACTATTAAGTTAATATTGAAGTTAAAATAGAAATATTTATGCTACTTTATGTTTGACCCTACCATGCGACATGATGTGTGTGTCTATTGTGGGGAGGGAATCACCACAAGAAAAGCAAGTATCTTACTTAACTGCTCAAGTTATAATAGCATATCCTGAAAAACAATATTAGAAACACAAACATGCTACAACTCATAACATTTTCGTGGTCATGTAATTAAAAAGAAAAACAAGCTTGAATAAAAGGATAAACCTAGGGATATTTAACGAGGTATTTGTTTTCCCATGCTTATTAAGTTCTCCATTCAACTGAAATCAAACTTATGAAATAATAAAACAGTTATACAGTTTGTAGCTTTTTACATGCCTTCCCTCACCTTCCCCAGACTTGCCACTTACTTCTATGGATTAGATTATTATTTGATAAAAAAAATTGACAGTGGGGAAATAGTTGTATTCATAATTATTTTGGGTTTAAGAAAGAATATAATTTTATTAAAAAGTATGATAATACATAATAATATTAATCTCTTAGTGAGGGTATT